CTTCCCAACAGGTAGTATCGAAGGGAATCCGTGCCCATTTAATGGCCAAGCACTCCTGTTCCACAGTTGAATAGCGCGTTTCTCGAGGGAAAAAGTTTTCGACTCAAGAATGCCACTGGCCTGCGATCTCCATCCACTTCTTGGAGTAACACCGCCCCAGTCCGACTCCAGAGGCATCCGTCTGCAGGATGAATGGCTTCTGGAAATCTGGGCTAAGCAGAACAGAGTCCCCACATACTGCTTCTCGTAAGTCCCGGAACGCTCGCTCACCCTGCTCCGTCCAGACCACCTTGTTGGGCGCAGCGGATCTAGTGAGATCTGTAAGCACAGAGGCCCTGGCAGAAAAGTTAGGTACAAACCTGCGATACCATCCAACCAACCCCAGGAAGGATCTCACCTGTTTCTTAGTTGTGGGGGGTTGGTACCTTCGGATAGCCTCCATCTTCTCCTGCTGCGGCCGGATAACTCCTCCTCCAATCACAAATCCCAAGTAACTGATCTCTTACTTGGTTATTATACACTTCTTAGGGTTAATGGTAAGACCGGCTGCCTTAATCCTCCCCAGGACTTGCTGCAGATGTTGACAGTGTTCTTCCCAGGTTTCACTAAAGATGACCACATCATCCAGATATGCCGCAGCAAACTCCCTGGTACCTTGCAGGATTTGGTCCATTAAACGTTGGAAAGTTGCTGGCGCCCCCTGCAGGCCAAAGGGCATAACCCTGAAATGGAATAACCCAAAGGGGGTCTTAAAAGCGGTCAGTTCCTTGGCTCTGGCAGTTAAAGGGACCTGCCAGTATCCCTTGCATAAGTCCACAGTGGATATGTATTTGGCTCTGCCCAGTCTTTCCACCAACTCATCAATTCTTGGCATGGGATAAGGGTCTACCTTGGACAGGCTGTTCAGCTGTCTGAAGTCAATGCAAAATCTAAGGGTTCCATCCTTTTTGGGGACTAGAACAATGGGGCTACACCACTCACTAAGGGATGGTTCAATCACACCCATGGAGAGCATAATATCTAGTTCATCCTTAAGCACTGTCACCAGGCGTTCAGGGATCCGGTAACTCTTCTGGCGGGCGGGCGTTGCCTCCTTAAGTATGACATCATGACGTACCAGGTTAGTACACCCAGGCTTCTCCTGAAACAGCCTGGGATCCACCAGCTGCTTTATCTGGTCTATTTGAGGTTGCTCTAGGTGGGATAAATCCACAGCTTGTTGGGCGGAACTGGTTGGAAAGTACTGCTCTGTTGGTTCATCTTCCTCCCCAACCACACGAACGAAAAGTTGCACAGCCTCGGTCTCCTTCCTGTGGTGGAATTCTTTCAACAAATTAACATGGAAGTTTTGCTTTTTCTTACCCCGTTTTGGCATGGAGATCTCGTAGGTGACTCTACCCGTTTTCCGCAAAACCTCGTAGGGTCCATGCCACTTAGCTAGCAACTTATTCTCACTGGTGGGTAGCAGCAGCAGCACTTTTTGGCCAGGCTCAAAGGATCTCTCCCTTGCCCTCTTATCATACCAAACTTTCTGAGTTTGCTGAGCTCTTCTTATGTTCTCCTGCGCCAGTGATGTCATTTCTTCCAGACGTTCCCTCATTTGGACCACATATTGGACCACACTGCACATGCCATCCTTGGGTCCCTCCCACTTCTCCTTGAGCAGGTCCAACGGTCCTCTCACCTGCCGACCATATAACAGTTCAAATGGGGAGAAACCCGTAGACGCTTGCGGGACCTCTCTGTAAGCAAACAACAGATAAGGTAACCATTGGTCCCAGTCCGACCCTGACTTGGAAACAAACTTGCGCAGCATGCTTTTGAGGGTTTGGTTGAACCGCTCAACCAAGCCGTCAGTCTGGGGGTGGTATGGTGTGGTCTTAATGGCCCTTATTCCCAACAATTTATACACCTGTTTCAACAGCAAGGACATAAAATTAGTACCCTGATCTGTCAAGATTTCGCAAGGAATCCCCACTCTGGAAAACAGCTGCACTAGACAGTTGGCTACACAGGTGAGGTAGCAGGAAAAAATTACAAAAAAAAAACAAATAAAAAAAAATAAAGTCAATATACCAAAAAACAGCCTTGCATCAGGCCTACTACTTCAATCACAGCAGTCAGGTGATACAGCATTCACTATCAACAGTCTTTACCCTCCTGATCACTTCTTTCTGTGAGAATTTATGCCCCTTGGGGCAACCATTTCTCACCAATAATCACATGGGGAAGTAATAAAGATCATGAACAGCTAATAAATATCAATTAAAGATATGTGATCAAGTAACTTCATTTTCTTCACCACACAAAGTTAAATAACAGCACAACTTCACTAAATTTCAACAGTAATTAAAAGAAGTTCACATTAACCTCCCAATTCCCCTTCCCTTAACACCATACTTGGTATCTCCCACTTCCCATGATGCAACACAGCACAGGTATAAAAAACATAAGAAAAGTCCATTCCAGTCTTTTACCCAATTCAAGATGGCCACCACCCTGTATGCTGCTCCAGGTGACAATCAACAGTCTGCAGCAAACGTTAAATGTCCTCAGGATTAGTGCTCAGGTGGCCAGTCTGAGACACAACAGTACAGTTGTGAATACATTTGTGTGGACAATCCATCTCTCATGTTGCTGGTACACTAAGGTAAATAAAGAGTCTTTAAAAACCAAGTATGTGTTCCTGTGTTTTGTGGAAGAGCTAACCAGGGGTCACAAAGAACTGAGGGTAGCTCTGTGACAAGAAAGTCACATTTATTTATTTAAATAAAATGACAGTGAAATATCACTGTCTCGTCAGCAAATTGGCTCATTTTCAATTCGGTGTCACAAACTTTTATCCCTTCAAGGTCTTTATTATTTATTAAAAATAGGCCAAAAGCACTTTCCTTGCAGTGTGTAACTTTTTGTTTTTCTTTCTTTTTGTTAGTTTTGAAGTTATTCGGTTGCAGAGCAGCTTGTAATTGTTTATTCACCAATCACAGTTGATGTCATTACTGAGGATTTAGCAATAGGGAAAAAATAAAAATAAGATCAATGGATGAATCAGTGAAAATATTCCCAAGCAAAATTAACGATTTTTAAATGTCATTAACTATGGAAAAACTATACATGGGTCCATCTTTTGCGATTATTTTATTAAATGCACTTAGTGCAGGGGAAATGTGTTTAAAAAGTTATTTCTAGGCATATGCTTTCTTGTGAAAAGTTTACTACATTTAAAATCAGAGGAAAATGAAAATTCAAATTGGGTAGGCTATATAAAACCACGTAAGTAATTTTGATCTAAATGATGGTTTGGGAGTGAGGCAAAACCTAACACTTTCTCACTTTGTGTAAATCTAATTGGGGTTCAGAATACATTTGAAGAGTTCAGATGCAAAAGCCTCTAAATGCCATTTGAAATTTTCTTCTAAAATGATCATTTTTATCAAGCGTATATATTCAAGTTCAGTAATTTCACTTGAATGACAATTAATAGGTAATCTTCATTGCCATTTAAGTGAAATTACTGAATTTAAATATACAAGCTTGATAAAAATTTCAAATGGCACTTAGAGGCTTTTGCATCTGAACTCTTCATTTTTTGAACAATAATTTCACATATGGTACTCTCATTCCTGCGTAATAATCAGGAAACTTCACTGCTGTACCATGAGTGCAGCAGGCGTAATGTTATGAAGCAGCACCTGAAAATAGTGCCCAGCTTCCAACGTGAACGGAACTAAGTTTGTGTAGTCATTGCGCCTGCTGCACTCATGGTGCGACAGTAAAGTTTTTTGATTATTAC